AACAACAATGGCATATGAGGCCCTTGGAAAGGGTAAAAAGCCTGGTTTGAGTCAGGCTCGAGGATACGGCGTTATCATTTTGTTCCTTTTGTGTATTCTTTATTTTTCTTATGGGGGTGCATCTTTAGGAATAGCGCATGTTGAAGCGAGCAGTGGGCTGCTGACACTATAGGTCATTTTGCATATTAATTTACTTGCCTGAATAGCTGGTCTAATAAGTCTGACGAGTTCTAGAACATGTGTTTGAGAGGCTGAAGGTATTTGCGTCATAGGAATGAGGGCGCATATTGGCAACTAATGAGGAATGGTTCGTCTGTTGCTCAGCATAACTAGGACCAACACAAGCACAGAGTCAAACACGTCATAATACATTGTGAAGTGCTTCCTTTAGGCTTGCAGTGAGAATGTCGTTAACTCCGGACTTCGCACTCGGCTTCATCCTACTGAGAGGCGATCCACTACGTTCCCGGCGCTAACCAGTTTTCGTATCCAGGTCGTGATACTATTGGATGTGGTGTACTTGAAGCTGGTGAGACGATATCAGAGTCTATAAACTTGGGAGTCAAGAGCAGTATAAAAGTACGTTATTTCTTTCCAGTATCAATACGCAGACTTATCGCTTCTATAAACTTATCAACAATGGTGTCTCTCTCCCGAGTGCAGCAAACCAACGTATCGGCTGGTTCAAAGCTCCCAGCTGGCCTCGTTGCCGTCTTCGCTGGTGCTACAGCAGGTATTGGCGAGACAGCTCTCAAAGCATTTACCAAGCATACTACAAGGCCCAAGATCTATTACATCGGCCGTTCTCGAGAAGCTGGCCATAGACTACAAAAGGAGTTGAAGGAGTTGAATCCTGAAGGAGAATATATCTTCATCAAGAAGGATATGAGCTTGTTGAAGAACGTGGATGAGGTTTGTCGGGATATCAAGAGCAAGGAGACAGTCTTGAATGTTCTGTTCTTAAGTCAGGGGACACTGAGAATTGGTGTTGGTAAGTCTTTTATTGTCATCTGACTATTATGTTGCGCGTGCTAATAGACTTAGATACCGATGAAGGGCTACCTCTAGTCACTGGTCTGACTATCTACTCTCGCAACCGTCTCGCTATCAATCTGCTCCCACTGCTAAAGAAGGCCCGGTCTCTTCGTCGCGTAATAAGCGTCATGGCTGGCACACATGAGGGAAAGCTCTTCTCCGACGATATAGCAGCTCGCAACATCCCCTTCACCAGCATTCACAACTCCCGAGGCCACTTGTGCTCGGCCCTAACTCTCTCCTTAGAAGCACTCGCTCGTCAAGCGCCGGAAGTTTCCTTCATTCACAACTTCCCTGGCTCTGTTGATACAAACCTAATCCGCATCGGAGACGGTTTCATGATGCAGGTTATGAAGTATTGGTTCAAGGTCAGTATGACGGTCAGGAGACAGTGGTTACCTAAAGAGGAGTGTGGAGAGAGACATGCGTGGTTGTGTTTGACTGGGAGATATCCTGGTAAAGAGGGTAGTGAGAATGGTATCAAAGAGGAAGAAGTTGCTGTTGGTACTGATGGGAGTAAGGGAAGTGGTGTTTATAGTGTTGATTGGGATGGTGAGAGTGCCTCGGGTGAAGTTGTCAAGCTGCTTGATGGGTTCAAGGAGGAAGGTCTTGTGGAAAAGGTATGGAAAGATCAGGAGAAAGAATTTGTCAGAATTACTGGTACAACTTCTATCTAAGCCATCAAATATGGATTAGTTGTTGTTGGTATAGGGTCCTCTTGAGTTGACAAGTTTGGCATTCTCTTTACAACCACCAGTTTTCGTCAGTTGACCTCGGCAGTGCTCAAGATGACAATAACAAAACTCACCAATAAATAGCTTGCAATGACCTCTCAAGAATTAACCTCACCTGACAAGGATTATTATGCCACCATCACCATTTAAGCTTTAATATCAATGCACAGGCCCGACCCTTCGGCTTCATCGGGAGTCAAAATCATAAGACAATGAGACACAAAAAAAAGACCCAGTCCAGATGCCACTCTCTCGGGGTCTCTAAGCGCCGACTCTCCGAGATTTACTGGGCCGGATTTACATATTTGTTGGCTCGGACAACGGATGATGCTAAGACTTGGGGGCTGTGCTGATATGACAGCAGCAAGATGGTGGTTGTGGTGACAGACACGCGTCGCTCTAGTGGTGCGCACGACTAAGAACTAAGGTAGAGGCTGATGTGCAACTCCAAGTGCTTCAAGAGACATGATAACAGATTCTTTTCATATTTTTTGGTGCTATCAATAGATATGTGTGTACGTACAAATATGGAATGGAGACATTGTCTGTGGCTACACTTCATTCTGATCGTTATCATTAGTGCTGCTCTCACTCCCAAACGCCCAAGGCTTGCAGATATTGTGTACGCCATCATGCTCGCTGTTAAATCACCACCAAGCTCCCGCAATCCCACTATGAAGCCGTCTCGATAGATGATCCCTTTCTCTTAATCTCTTTTTCAGGATCAACTCCGAGTTCCCACTCTTCTCTCTCCCGCTTCATGTCTCTCTTACACCACTTGATGGTGATAATGCCCCAAACAACGGCCCACAAGAATGGAACTGCCCATGCAACACCATAGGCGCCGGTTGCCGGAACTTGTGGAATGACGGATATGACGGTAAGGGGCACGGCGAGTACTAGCGCCGAGATGGACCAGAACCAGGATTGTTTGTAGACCATCTCTCGGAAACGTGGGCTAGCTTTGTATCGAGCTGCCAATGCTTCCCGATAAGGCCGGCCACCAAGGGCATTAACCGCGATAACATCCTCGATGAAGTAGTAAGCACCTGGTAAGACCTGCATAGAATTAGCACATGACAAACTGCTAGTTTTCTTATTTTTGGACGTACCTTTTCTCCCTTTGCAGTTGAGCTGATGCGGAAAGGAGCTGGCCAGTTCATCTGGTGGTAAAGCGTAATGAGGAACAGAACACCACCATAGCAGTAAAGAATAGCTGGAGCAGGCATGCACAGCACTCTCAACCAAACATTGTGAGGTGCACTGCCAATGATGAACAAAGCAGTAACCACAAAAATAGTAAGGGTGGAAGAGTACGTCAGCATGTCAAAGCACCAGCGGTGATTCGTTCCCAGCGGTCGGTAGAACCTATCCACCTTGATCAACCGGAGGGTGCGGACGGCGAATTCCAAGTACGTGGGACCGCCCCAGATTGTAGTAACTACCGCAAAGATGATCCATCCTTCAACGTCCCCTGCATATTTGAGTCCGTAGTATAGAGCTATCGGAACCGCGGATGCATCGACAAACACCAGGAATGCGAAGATGAAGAGTCGCCAGCGCTTCCAGCCATGATGCCATGTAAACGGAAGCTGCGGTAGTAGATGGGGGTTTTCGTCGTAGTACTCTAGTAATGTTGTAGCTCGTCGTCGATATTCGCTTTGGGTAGCGGCTCGAGAATCGTAGTATGCTTCTGCTTGTGGTCGCTGAGCATAAGATAAGCTTCTTCGCGCATCTGAACTCCTTCTAGGAGCACCCGAGTTCCGTCGAGCGCCCTCAGATGTTCGCCGAGCACCTTCAGATGTCCGTCGAGGTAATTCTGCAAACGCTGAGTCGGGGGGCTCTCGCGGTGAAATTGGTGAAGCTGCCTCCTCTGGAAGGTCGAATCGTACACCATTAGTCGAAGATTGGTGAGACTGCGAGGGACGAGAGATCCCGGGGGCTTCAGGGACATCTGTCGACGAGAGGGCCGAGTCGGACACTGGCGCAAGGCTGCCCCTACGCACCTCAGGCATTGTTGTATAGTGATGTGATGTTTTGCTCGTGGGTGGTGTTGGTAATGATGGCAGTGATGGGAAGAGGAAGACGAAATGGCCAAGTTGAGAATGAGGTGAGGTAAACTGGAGATTAAGCTAAACCAGACCAGACCAGATAAACTTGATTCTAAGGAGAAAATGGAAAAATGTGTGGAGGATCGATCATAAGGAGAAAAGGGCCCATTTCAGTGGCAAAGTTTAGTTTTTAAAGCTAATCGTGTGAGGCGGGCGGGTTGCCATGATACTTATTTAGAGCCCGGTTCAAGGTACTGTATGATCCTGATGAGACGGACCCAGACGGAGACGGGCCCCAGCGATAGCGATAAAAGGGTCTGACGTGCGGATGCAACAATACAGCAGCTAGGCTTGTTTGGTCACTGAAGAGAACACAGTCTTTTTATATACTAATACGCATACTGAATGGTTGACTCATGATAAAAGCATATACTAAATGGCTTATTTATTGAGAGCTAATGTGTTATTTTGGCCGAGACGCTGAGATCTATCTGACCGAGTGGCAGAAATCGATGGCATCATGAATCAAACAACTAGAAAATCAGCTATCATCACCCATCAGGGGTCATTTCAATGCGGTGTAACCGCTAATAATTACAGCGGCCTACAGCTGTGATTTGCGAATGACGTCCTTGAGCCGTCGGGCTTTTTTCCCCTGTGGCCAAGGAAACCAACCGCGGCCAAGAATTCTGTCAGCGCCCGCCAAGCGACGTCATTGTCGGGATGTATGTGGGGCCGCATCCGGCAATGAAGTCACCGATCGTCCCGCTTACATACAGTGTCCATGGATTTGATGACATGACATGATCCTTTCATGGCCCAAATTTAGAGCCAAGAAGAGGGATTTGTTCTCGTGAGGCACACAAGGTAAGCTTAATAAATATGTTTAATTTTATTCCCGTCCGCATGCATCTCGGACTCCATCACATAACCAGACCCTGAAAGTCGGGACGAGACAGGCCAAGCATGATAAAAGAAGACTAATCTCATAAAGACATCCTAAAGTATGCCTAAACTTGACAAATGTTTACCCTAAGAATTTGATGAATTTATGCTATCATAAATCTATGTATCCTGCATACAGACGCTTCAGAAAAAAGATGAGTAGGGTTACTATACAAGAGGATATATATCTCAAACACGATCCCCCATCGAGATCTACTCACCCCTGACCATTACATCAGACACTCGACTCATTCGATTCATTCTTGGAAAGCGCCTTGTACTTTCCCGGCTTAACGTTGGATCCTCTGCCCTGAGCAAAACAGTTCTCCGTCTCAGGCCACTCGTTCGGGCGAAGATAGTAAGGATCTCTCTTCTTCATCGACAGCATTCCGATGAAATCGAATGGGTCTAATACGAACAAGGCCCAATGCCGTTTATGAATCCATCCAGGTCCCATAAGTTCTGTCTTGCCGTCAAAGTCGAGGTATTGACGTTGGTCGTGAGGTAGATATCGTCCCGGGTGGATGATATTGAGCCAGTACGTATAAAGAGCGACAGGAATGGCTTCCAGAACATAAAAAGGCCATTCACGCCTCATGAGTGCGTTGCTGTTGTCTTCTCCGCTAGAGAGAATGTCTCTGAGCTCAAACGTCTCGACGGCGCGGAAGACACAACGAATGAGGATGAGTATCGACGTGCCGTAGAGCATGATGAACAGAGTTCGTACGTTTGAAGGCAACATGTTGGCCCTGGAGCATCGCCTGTGAAGAATGCCAACCATGGCAATGAAGCCAATCTCGATTGTCCCTTGGAGAATAACCGCGATGGCCATGAGGGTCGCACCAGATTTCAGCCGATCATTATCCTGTCGACCATTACCAGCTGCTATCCACGAGGCACCAATGGCAGTGAAAATCTCTACAAGAGAACCCAAAAACACAAAGATGTATACGATTCGGTTCGGGTTGATGATGGAGTGCATCGGTAGATAGTGCATCAGACGACCAAGAGTGTTGTATTCGGCAGCTGAGTACACCGGAGGAGCGAGGTAGATGAAGATGCTCGAGATCATGTATAGGGGAAGACTGTCGGGTTTTCGTACTGAGATGGCTCTTATTACCCATCCGATGCAGAAGAATAGGCCGGCGTAAAACATGAAGAAGGTAACTCGCCAGAACTTGTATCGACTGTCTTGCATTAGGATCTGTGAGGGCTTATACATTCTTGACAGTGACTTACGTGTTCTGGATATAATGTCCTATGAGTGATATTCCTATTATTACTGAAGCAATAATGGGGAGGATTTGGTTGGCATCGTAGCCATAGAGATTGTCTTTTGTTGGATTTGCCATGGTGTAAGCAAGTGGCATACTCTGTAAGTCAACTTTGAATTGTAGGCTTTGGCTTCAACAAAGTTCACTTTTAAGATGAACAACATCGCCTTTATATAAACTTGCTTTTTCATAAACTCCCTTTCGTCATTGCATCTATCTCTTAATCTGCCCTGCATCTCCTCCATCTGTAACGAGGCGCAGCCACAGCCGTCGAGTGTAAGCTAGCAGCCCTACAGCGTCTACAGCGCTGGGTAGCGACAGATTGAGTTAGACTTGGCGATTGTGCCTGTCGATGTGGACCCCTGGCAACTCAGCATTTTCTGCTTATTGGTCTAGCTCTTTAAACAGAATCCGTTGATCCTTCACGGCTGAATATCTGATGTTTGTCTATTCCTTGATCTTTCTTATCTATAGCGGTAGGTTTGTACTGCTTCTGGCCTAGTTCTGGCTGCAGTGGCTGTATCCAGGTAGATGCAGCGCTCGGGTGGTCGTATTGAACATTGGCAGTTTGAACCACTCTCGGATATCTTTAACCCGTTGTATTTTTGGTAAAGAAGGATCAATCCAGCTTTAGCGGTACATAACCTAACCTAGATCTTTCATTGCGGCGTATTACATGTAATAAATGAGCTGTACTTTGAGTTGCGATGCCTCGACCTTGTCTAAACCACTAGGTAGTTACAACACCTACCTACCCCAGACCAATAAATAAGCCCACAACTAGACAGCATAGCAACTTCTCTCGAGATAAGGAAGAAAAAATGAATCAATGGGTCTTTGCCAAACTAAATAAAAAGCAACATCAAAAATAGTTGCAAATGGCAAAAGAGAACTCCCCCGGGAAGGCTCGAACTTCCGATCTCCCGATTGTCTATAAATAACAGTCGGACGCTTTAGCCAACTAAGCCACAGGGGATAAGCTCGTTTGATGGTAGTCAGCCGCTTATTGCTACCTAACAGCAAACAGTTTCCTCAACGCTCTTGCATAAAACAAACAGCTTCTTAATTTGGACTTAACTTGAATTGTTCATAACGTAAGACGAGATGCTAGACATAATAACCTGAATAGACAGTGTATTCATTCTTGTTCTGTCAATCATATACTCCGTGAACTGAATATGGTTTGTGTATGGCTTCGGGTGCCTTGCCGTTCGAGCTCCCAGTTTTCATATTATCCTATTATAAAAATGAAAAACTATTATAAGACTTCATCGTTGTCTATCCCCTCGATTACATCATCTGCGTCTGATATGGCAAGATATGGCCATGATCCAGTCGTCAACTCCAGTTGTGACATGCGATTCTGTATCTTGTGTAGAAAGCCAGAGTCTCTCCCTCCAACAGAGTGCAGTACATGTTGGAGAGAGTACAAGATTTCTCCTGCACCAACAAGCATACTGCTCCCATGAGCCGAAAAGGGCGTGCACGCAACGATATCAAGCATTGCATCTGCTAATCGGAATACTTTAAGTTCCTGTAATATCAAAGTCAATTTATGCAACAAACTATATCCATTTTCCACTTACAATACCATATCCGTGGGTTGTGATGGCAGAATTTGTCACCATTGAAAAAAGAGAGAGCATCTTGTGGCCGATCTTGACTGGAAGAAAAAGAGAGAAAGCTTCGTCATCTGGGTAACACGACATTGCAAAATGGCGAGCCGTATACTCCCATAGAATGAGTCTGATCCATTGGCGGGTGACGAATAAGTCGACTCTTTGGGCTTCACGGGCAGCGTGGTCGTGGGCATCTAGGCACAGAGCGGCTTGATATGATACCAGTTTTTGTCTCTCGAGGGGCTGCTGGTTTGATGAAATTGTTGTCAAGTTGCTCTCGAGATATGCAAAGAGTCTTGTGAGGGAGATGAAAGCTTGCATTCGTTGTTCATCTGCCATGTCATCTTGCGTGTCTGGGAATACATCGATGACTTGAAGAACTGCTTGCAAACCATGCTGTGCAGAATACGTTCTGAGACAAAACGTCAGCAAATATGACCCGAAATTCAAGGTCTACTGTACCTCTCAGTGATGAGAACAAGCCAGTATATCCGGAGTCGAAGTGATTGCTCCTGCTTAGTAAGATGGCAATACGTCTCAGGATAACCAAGTTGCATGAGCTGAACTTGCGTCACAGCTTCTCTTAGAAACAGACCAGCAGTTCGTAGCTTATTGCCGTTGGAGTGGTAAACATGAAGAAAGAAAGGTATAAGTGCAGAAGCTATACTGTAGCTCTCTCGGTAATCATAAAGTTCTCGCAACTGAAGACACTCGGTAGCAAACTGAAGAGATGAAGGAGTGTTTCGTGGGCCAGCATGTTCTGGTAGTCTTAGTTGAGCTATGGTGGCAGCACATAGTGCAGCCGCTAGAGCATGAGACTCATAGTCATTGGGGTTCTCTGAGATTTTCATAAATAGGTTGTCGGGGTTGATGACCATCCAAATGGAAGATACTGGTCGTTTTGATATTTGGAGGAAACGTTGATATTCGTGGAGTGGTAAGCGATATGGCGGGAGAGGTACAGAGCTGGAAGGGTCGGAACGAGACTGGTCATCATCTTGAATGGTACAAGGTTGAGTATCCTTGATGCTCTGTTGAAATCTCTCGACTTTCTCTTTGGTTGTGCTTCGAGGTCCGCCCTTCGGCCCACGCTTCTTGCGGGTTCTCAAGGCGGTGCATTCGATGCCTCTGATTCGACATTCGTGACATGGTTTTCCTTCTTCACATTTCACACGACGTAAAGCGCAGCCGTCACATGGATTTGCGTTTCTAAGTCTCGTGGTCATCGTGACTGTGATTGGTAATCGAGAGTCAAGCTCGATTGAGGTTGAGTTGAAGTCGGAAAGTGACGATGTCTCGGCTGAGTTGCCCCACTCGCCACCGGACTCTACTATTTGCTGAGATGCACCTCTCACGTTTTACTGCAGAACATCATTGCACAGCCTGAATTGAGGAGAAGTAACCAGGCTCAAAGGGATTATAATTGGCCATTTGCCTAACATGAAAGCAATGCTACATGCTCTATGAGGATTCGAGTTGTCAAGGCCTACATTGTAGGGTTCGCTTGTTAGCTAACCTGGGCCATTTCATTTTAGTCACAGTCTAGGAGAATAACGTTATCCACATGATATAAACCATCAGCTCTATTTCCTTCGTTCATATTGTGCTATTAGTGACTACCGATGCTCAATTGGACCAACTACTGTACGTGCACTCTCTAAGAATGGCATTGAAAAGCGATTGGGTCTTCATAGCTTCAAGCAGTGTGTGTAAGTGAGCCGAGACAATTGATCTAATTTAGTTATCTATAGTCCGCTTACTCTACCATAGCATTGTATCGTTTAATAACATCGATATATCCGTCAACTGATGAGTCTCGCCTTTCTTGACCCCATCCAAGCCCATCGATCAGCACATACGACCATAGCTCGCAGAGAATACGGGGTCCCGTCCGCTCCCCCATCGTCAAGCTGCGAAGCGCCGGATTAGTAGTTGGGTCGGTGACGACCAGCGAATACCTGGTGTTGTATGTTTTTTGGTCTTTTGAGCCTCTGTGCTGGTTATTGTTTTGCTCCAGAGAGGGTTGGTGAAGGTATTGGACGTCAAGAACTCTAGCACAAGTTCGATGACCCCTTCAAAGTTGGAATGCAACATGGCAATCAGTTGGACGATGTCTCGTATCGGCTGTCAGCCATGAGCAACTCCATGACCGGCCCAAGCAAATCCTCATCCAGTCCCAAAGTCATCAGTCGTCCAACCTTGACCGCCGTGGGCTGGGGAGCCTTGACAACTCCCCAAAGCTTTTCCTTGGTCCACATGTCCATCTGATAGTCAAGAATCAGATCCTGGATACGCTTCAATGGGTCAAGCACGCTCAGCTTCGGCTCATCGCCCAGCTGGACAGACACCACATCCAACTTATCGGGAAGCGCAGGGATCTGGACGACCAGGCCAGGCACCTTGGGATAATCCTCGACATATGGCTTGACGTCAAGAACAGTCTGATCAGTGACCCCGCTAACGACCTTGAAACCCTTCGGGACCTCCATGATAGATAGGAACTTGACACTCCAAGCCTTGCCCTTGGGCTCAAAATATAGCCTGCCGCTTTGCTGGAAATAACCAAGAATAGGAGACTCGCTGTAGTTCCCTTTATCAGCCTTATCATTTTCATCGAGCTCTTCCTCAACCTTGAGCCGCCCATTCTTGCCCACAACAACGAGAACCTCAAAGTTCTCAGGGCTCTCGCCACCGTTGCTAGGGGTAGGGTCCGCATCGAGAGGGATGATAGAGCCCTCGTGTGCGAGCACAGGCATGTTCTTAATGCTTCTAAACATCCTAATGTCCCGGTCGCCGTCGTATACAGTTCCAGTAAAGATGTCGACATGTCGACCGGGAGGTACCCAAACATCAACGGCACCATGGTTCGTTCTCTTGTCGCGGGGCTTCACGATGGGTGCAACCACTAGTTCTGAACCAAAGTAGTACTGGTTTGGCTTTCCATATGCTTCATCTCTGTCCGGAAACTTCCAATACAGAGGCTGTACAAGTGGCTCATCGTTCGACGATGAAGCACAGTTCATGGTGTAAAGATAAGGGATAAGCCGGTGACGGAACCGCAAGAAATTTTGCATGACCTCTGCAAACTCGGGGCGATATAGCCATGGTTCTTTGGAAGTGAACAAGCCCATCTGTGAATGAAGTCGCATGATAGGCGAGAAAACACCATATTGCACCCATCGAGTAGCGAGCTCGTCGTCACGATAACCACCCATATGGCCACCGATGTCGTGACTCCACCATCCATAACCAATGTTGGACGCTGTAGCTGTAAACTCGGGTTGAAACTCGAGAGACTCCCAGGTCATGATGCTGTCACCCGAGAACCCGACAGGATAGCGATGACTGCCTGGGCCTCCGAAACGGGAGAAGATAATAGCCTTGCCTTCTCCATTTTGCTTCTCATTGTCGAGAAAGTGGTAGTGGTTGAGAAGCCAAAGAGGATCAAGACCTCGGACA